CACAGTAAGGGTTCGGATAAATGGGCACCTTCCCTTTCTAACATTCAATTCAGTTGGCGGTGGCTCTCTCCACTTTAATTTTGTGTACATCATCATCCTTTCAGTGTAAGAGTGTTCAGTGATAGTCAATCTCTCATTAACAAAATAAATCAACTACCTAGCTTTCGCCAGCTATCCGCACTGCAGTGGGGCACCTTGCAGCAAACAGACACCTCGAAGCCGGCATTATTAACACAAACTCGCCTTTGAAGGGCCCATCGCAAGGCGTGGGCATAGTTTGCGTAAGCGCCAATATTTCGAAGACAACTTGCATGGCCTGGTTTATTTTACGGAGTCTAGAAACGAGTGGTAATAGGCAAAGGCACAGTTTAGAGCCAAATTGAAAGAGGCTGGGCGTGAATGTTTCTAGGTTAGGTGGCGAGCTACCGCTTGGAAACGGGCAAGCTGGCAGCGCTGCGGCAATCACTTATTGTTCGCCGCAATCTAGTGGTGGCCAGCGCAAAATCATCGGGAAGCAATGGTGCTGTACAGCACAGAGGACAGTGTCCCTGTTGTGATTATGACGGCGCTTAATGTGGTTACAAATCTGGAAAGCTTTTTCCCATGATACCAATAGGATGAAGGAAAAACACCTTCACGAATCTGGCCATGTGTATGTGAAGGAGGTCTGTTTCAAAGGACGAGTGGATGTCACGGCACAATGTACTCTGCAGACGAAATTGAGTGCGCCCGCAAAAAACATTTCGATGACGTCAACCTTCGTGCAAGAGTTTTCTTAGTTGCATTGAGTGGACTGCACTAATGATGTACATTTATTTTTTGCTTTTTGAGTCAGCTTGACAACCAAGAGATTGTTTTAACACCGTTTCACAAATCCCAGCACTACTTTCCTCCTGCAGGCCAGGGGCTGGGTCTTCGAACCCCATCCTGCAAGCCAAATCCAGCCCGTGGAGGTTTTCCAACCGGCTCGTGGCTGGCCGCAGTATTTCCAATGAAGCCCGGCCCGCGGCTTCCTTTCAGCAGGCCCACGGCTACCGGCACAAAAATAAGTGCGCGGAAACAAAGATACCATAAAGAACCGAGAGAAATCTGTCTATCGATAAGGAGTACCTTCGCGTCATATTACTAATTGGACATTGTCATTACCAGCATCACTATTCTTCGTCCCATTGCATATCTGTAACTACGCATGTTAAACTTCTTTTTCCTTCCTATGTATATTGCACTTGTGTCCTATCTATAGGTGGTATGCACTGGACGCCACATTTGAGGTGACTGCTCACAGCGCATGCACAGGAGGGAAAGGAAAATCTATCCTCTAGCCGGGACCCTCCTCTGTGTTCCAGGCTCGCCTAGATGTCGCTATTCTCCCTCTAGAAGATTAACCAATCACTCAAAATTCGTAAAAGAGCAGCTTCCCCCTCTCTCTGTTCCGTGGAGGTGCGAAATGGGTGGTGTGATGGCAGTGCAACGCATGTGGGCGTGTTGGAAGAGGTGTCAAAGCTTGCCGACAGTGCGTGCTCACCCAAAGTGAATACGCCTCGCAAGTGGGCCCATTTTCGTCTTCTGCGCATGAGAAAGGAAGTAGCGGTGACGTCAGAATGCCGAGCCCCGATTGGCTGATCGCGACCCCCTATCTGAGCGTCGTCTGCTCCTTTGCAACGTCGTCTGCTCGCAACGTCGTCTGCGTCTGTCTTACCTCTCCTGCGAATTTCGGAAGTGCAGGTCTTTACGAGCGAGCTCGACTTCGTCTTTTAGAGAGGGCAGACGAAATAACTCGAGCGGTACGTTGTTTTTGTCTAACAACGAGCAGACGCGCATCAAGGAGAGAAATCAAAGGACTCACTAGCGAGGTGTCCCGAGGCGCCGAGGTTTGTTTGCTAAGAACCGAGAGTGAGCGTCCGCAAGTTCCCTCTCAAATACTTTTTCCCTTCTTTTGTGTGCGGCGAGACTCCTCATTCTTCAAAGGCGTCGGCAGGTTGGCGCAGTTAACGTCGTCTGCTTTACGTCTGCTAGTCAAAGCGATGGCTGCTTTACCTTTCCTGCGTCTATCGGAGATTCACCGCTTTTTCACCGGCGAGAGTCACCGTTGCCTCGGGAAACAAGGAGATAACAAGAGGAAGAAATTGACCTCTTAATCTAAAATCGAGATCAGCGATCAAAGTATAATATGGGAAGGGTTCACAAGGGTCGCGCGGGCATATTCCATTCAGCACGCCAGCCGGTCGTGGGCAGACGGTCGCCGAGTCGCGGAGTGCCTGCTAGGCCTAACTGCCGTGTTCGCTTGGTCGCGTTCGGTGGAATCGTGGCCGTTGGAGCTTTTCCCGGGTGTTTGTGGATCCATCGTTCCTGTTCGTCGTGGTCTCTTTCAAGTACTTTTTACTTTTTTCTTCCTGGTTGAAGTCGGGACGCGTGAGAAGCGCACATAGAAAAATAAACGTCCGTGGGTCGTCGCGACCGCGACGTTGTCGGCCATGCTGATTTGATCGTAAGAAGTGCGTAAGACAGCTTCGGAGCTGTCGTAAGATTTCGTCGTAACCTGCGCAAAACTTACGAAAATTTCGTTTCGTGAATACGAATTTTTTCTTAAGTGTTGTCTTGCGCACATTTTTGGCGTAAGATTGTTTCGTGAATCTGACCGAAAGTCGCAGGAAAGGTAAGACAGACGCAGACGACGTTGCGAGCAGACGACGTTGCAAAGGAGCAGACGACGCTCAGATAGGGGGGCGCGATCAGCCAATCAGGGCTCGGCGTTCTGACGTCACCGCTACCCCCTGCGCAAGGAGCAGACGAACTTGCCCTCCGCATACCGCCTATTGCATTTTAGGCTTGTGACCTCGGTGAACATACTGAAGTTCCTCCGCGGTTTGATTTATGCCTAGTGAGTTTTCCGAGTTCCGGTTATTGTGTAATTAGCTCAGTATTGAATTTTAGAATCAAATATAAATTTTCATCCACCTGTTTTTTTTTTTTTACTTTTAATTTTGTATTTAGTTGCTGATCTAAGATTCTTATAAAGTTTATTTCTGATATATACTTATTTATTCTCCGGCGCTCCAGATTCCCAATCTAGCACCTTAGCCAAAAGTTTGGAGACCCCTGCTGTAAGCCGATGGGAAGATCGACGGGTTGTAGCTTGTGTGGACGACCTCGTTCCGCTTCTTCCCGGTGAAGTGTTCGCTGTATATATTAGAGCTTGCTGTAGGTGTCCTTGTTGTTCCATCGTCGCTAGAAAAAGTTAATTTTATTATTCGTCAGCCGCTTAAAGCAAACGCGAACTGCGAAGTGAGAAGTGAGAAACGCTACTTACTTGCATTGACGCATAAGTCGCACCCAGCGCCAGGTCGCGCGGCGCTCCGCCTCGTACGACTTCGAAGGGATGTTCTACGTACCGTTGCAGGTGACCACGCCACCACGCAACGACTGCTGTGGCTTTTTAAGTGCGGAATAGCCAACTCACGAACAACAACCAGTGCAGCGCTAAACTGGCTAAACCCACTAATAACGCACAACCAACGCAGCGACTGCGACCTCTATGGTGACTGCAGACGACTACACTAACTCGTGTACTGCTAGGGGCGCCCTGGTCGGAGCTTGTATTATGTCAACCCGCTCCCATATATACGTGTCTGCACGGTTTTAACGCGCACCTTTTTTCGCCAAAATCTGTGCCCAAAAATATGTGTGCGTTATAATTGAAACTGAAAACTTAAAAGGAAAAACGCAATACTCGGTATAAGGTTGCTAGCCCCATCGCCATCGTGACCGTTTGTTTACATTCGCTCTTTTGGCTCTTTTGGACCATTCGTATCCGTATCACGCGCATTCTCTCGCGTCTAGGGATTCGTGTCTGTCGTTTTAAGATGGTAAAAACAAGAGAATCTCCTAGGACACCTTATTTAAACAAGATATAACGCTGGCGGATAAAGGTAACGGAGCAGCACTGCGTGTCCTTGCAATCCCAGCGACCCGACGAGCTCGCAAAGTTGTTTGGAAGACGACCCTTACGGAGGCGGCCGTCGCACACTCGTACAAGCGCAAGAAGCGCGGCAGCTACAACGTTTTAGACGAAAGCAAGGATTACCTCTGTGGACAGCGAAGAACTATCGTCGGACTCCGACTAGTGCACGACATTTATTTTTGTGTTGGCGTGCGTTCCATAAAATCTGTTCTATGAGGTATGTGTTCAACCTTCTTTGTTTTACCTGGGAGCGAAATATGCGTGCGGGTTAGAATCGGGGGCGCGTTAGTATTGTGCAAACACGTATCCTCCATCCCTCTCTAATATGGCAATATTCAATAATATATATAAACCATTAAATGCAGGGAGATTCGTTAGTGAAAGTGACGACATTACTGCGATTTCTCTCGTTCGTAACCGACTGCTTTCGTCAAAACTTCTCTGCCGGTTCGCCAGTGTTAAACTTGACCACGGCGCAGCATATTGGTGCGAAATTGGAGGTGTGTTTGAAATGAATGAAAAACGTGGCCCCAGTGAACTACCAAAATGTTAAATTTAACGCCCATGTCTGACGAACAGTATTTGACCGGAAACAGAAGTTTGCTCGAACCGTCACCGCTACTGTGGTTAACGCATCATATAATTGTTCGCAGTCACATGGACATATACTGCTGAGTATGGTACTGTTCTGAGCGACCATATGAATGAATATAGCTTTGTAGGGGCCAACCCTATCTATCTATATGGAACCATATGCGTATGGTATGGCTCGGTATGGTTCAGCCATATCCAACTATACGGAGCCATATGTGTATGGTATGGCTCGGTATGGTTCAGCCATATCCAACTATACGGAGCCATATGTGTATGGTATGGCTCGGTATGGTTCAGCCATATCCAACTATATGGAACTATATATGTATGGTATGGCTCGGTAGGGTTCAGCCATATGGAACCATATAAATCCATACTATCCCATATGGTTTGCCATATGGAACCATAGAAATCCATACTATGCCATATGGCCTGCCGTATAGGTTCATATAGTTTTTTTCAGTAGGGTGGCCTCAAAAAAGCGGATCATAGTCTCGGCATCAACTTTTTTGGAAATCAGATATGCACATGGCATTCCTGATTGGTCTTCTGCAACTGTCATGAGAGTCGTCAGCTGTAAATTGTGACCGTTTGTTCCATGAGTGGAGTCAATGCACAGGAACTTGGGACCAAGCTTAGCAAGAAGGTCTTTCTGAGGGGCAGTCATCAGGGCAAGCTCAAAGTCACAGGTGTCCTTTTGCGTCTGCTGTTGAAAGTACAGCACAGGGGAATCTAGTTGCCTGGTTAGTTCCTCCACCCACATCTCGACACTTACAAATTGATCTTTGTGTCGTCGCTCTTTGGTTTGAATTTCGTGCTGAACAGAAATGTTGCCAATGTCCTTCATTGTGAGCAAATGAAGCCTGCCCATCTCACTGCCACCAGAAGCACGTGCATCTACCAAGACCTTTCGGGCAGGGATGCCTTGCTTTAGTTTAGCAGCTAAAGCCTCCTTCTCTGTCTTTGAGAGTGGTTGGTGCTTCAGCTCCTTCAGGTGGCCGTAGTGCTCTGCCTGGTACTCTACTGCCACCTTGCCATCTTTCTCTGTTGCTTTAATTATAGCTAAGCACTTCACATTAGACTTACAACTGCCCTGTGTTTTTAGTTGCCGTTCACCTTTGCTCTCACTCTGAAATGACCCAGAACGGTGGCAGTAGTACTTCCGTCTCATTTCACCATTTTTGGAACGCTTGGCTCCGGTGCGAAGAACGAAGTGAACGTGTTCCTTGCTTTCCTCGGCTGCCATCCAGATGCTGAATTCTGGCAAGCAAAGAAAGAAGATTTGAAAATAAATGGTCATTGTTCATTCATGCCACTTCACATGCTGAATCTCAATGCACTAGAGCATGTGCTCTTCATCTCCAACTCGGTTCCCTGGAGTACCTTCAAAGGTTCACTGAGCTCAACACGCTCCCCAGTGGTACACGCGCCGTCCAAAAAGGGTGACCCAAATGGCAAAAGTTCTTCGCGTCGTGCGTATAGTCATTTCCGGTCAAAGTGCATGAGCTTGTGCATATAGCTTAGCTCTTTCGAATAAGGGGGAAAAAGGGTTTAAAGGAGGACCAGCAGAAATATTCTTCCGCCTGGCGGAAAGTCCTCCTCGCCCTCTTTCTTCTTGTATTGTAGCACGGCGAGGCGAGGGGAAAGGTCTCCTTTTGCGCCGGCTTCTGAGAGGATAAGCCGAGAAAATCCCCATTCTGAGCGACGGGCGATCGGTGCGGCAGCAGCGACCTCGTGACTTAGAGGTAGCTTCAGCTCCTATCGCGTAATCTGCCCCATTTTTTGGCGCTCACCAAGCCTAGCCCCTCGGGTGTAGGTTTTACGGAGCTGCAAGGCTGCGCCCGCGCAGTCACCGAATTTCCGCTGTCGAAGGTCTTTAGTTTAGCCCGTGGCAAAGTAAACGCATACTTGAGAGCTGCGATGCATCTCCGCACCCATTGAAGGAACGTTTCATAGATATTTTCGGTTGATCAAGGAGCTCAAAACACATGCGCGAAAAGTGGTGACTTGAATATGTAAGGATGACTCACATCTTCACAAAACGTTCCATCTTGAAAAAAACGGCTTATCACGCTCAAACCTGCCTCAAATTGGGATCGATGGAGAAGAGAACGATGTACCAGGCGCGGGCATCTTCTAGAAGGTCTCTGTTTTCTAGCAGCGAGCATAAACATTGTGTGCGTAACTCACACTATATGATGGCCAACGAATGTATGTGACATTTATATTTACGCATCCCAGCAACCACATGAGGTGAGAAGGCAGCTATGGTGTGTGTCGATACTAAAAAGTTCTAGTGGATCGTCTTTAACTCTTGGATAACCGCACCCTACAACAATTTATAAGCTATAACCTTTCTGTGAGCATTCTTGATCGAGTGCGGCTATCGAAGCGTCTGGTGTTATAGTTCAACGTTGCTTAAATCGGCGCTATAGCACGTACTGCCACTTTAAAGTATTTCTAAAGCATTAAAAATAAAAAAAATAAAAAATTAACTGTAGCCTTTTTTTAACATAATACGCGTTTGTAATTTGTCTGTGCAAACACATTTTAGTTAGCACGGACAAACTATTGCCGGTCTTTCTGATTTTGTTTTTTAGAAATAAATGATATTTAGAAAACTGTCAATGGAACTATCCAACCTAAGTGGCAGAGCTCAGTGCTAGACAATACATGTTGCTGGGCAGAAATAGTAAAAAGCGCCGATGTCGCGTTCGGGCTAAACGTGCCACGTAATGCACGCATACCGCTACAAGTGCGTCCGGACATTTCATCGAATGCCGTTTCATCGAATGCCGTTTCATCGAACGCCGTTTCATCGAACGCCGTTTCATCGAACGCCGTTTCATCGAACGCCGTTTCATCGAACGCAGTTTCATAGAAGCCGTTTCATCGAACGCCTTTTCATCGAACAATGTTACAGTCTGTAATACTTTGGAATTTACTTTAATTTTTATACAGAACTTCATCTCATTCTCTCTTTTTTTTCTTCTTTTGTTTCTGCTTTTATATCACTGGGTGCAGTGGCGATATAAGTTCCATCGTGAACATATCCTGCTTCGAGAAGAAAGCCTCCATGAAACAATGACCCCTCTCCATGTCACATGAAACAATTAAAAATGAGGCAAAAACAGAAAGCACAGACGCTTAAAAGTGTTTTAAGTGTCTGTCCTTTATTTGCAGCGTCGTGGTTTCAGCAATGTATGTACATGAGTAAGGCTTTTCAGTAAGTCGCATACCCAATTGTTTTATTTCTTTTTATGCCAATTGCTTTTATTTTTAGTAATTTGACACCACCTTCAAAACAATTTCTCAAGTGACTACCTTAGTCGTAACAAATGCAAGGTGAAACATCTATAAAGCACTGTTATGCCCCAAAACTCGGTACAGAGCCATAACTGAGAAATTCAATGAAGCGGCCCTTGGCGATTCCATAAAACGGCGTTCGATGAAGTGTCCGTTCATTCGGTGAAACGGCTTTAGATGAAATGGCGAAAAAGTGAGGTTCAGGCTTGGTCGGAGATTGCTACGGTTACACACGTACGCTTTTTCAGTTCTATCTCGCATAAATAAGCTTCTTGCTCAAATAAACAGGGGCATCTGACTTTTCGCTCATCTTGGCCTTTTGCGCGACTGTTAACAAGTTCTAAAACAGACAAAGCAAAAGTGATTTAATTAGCTCAGGATTATAGGATGAGCGAAATATTTACAAAGTTCAAGGTTCCCTGAGTCGTCTTTTGTATTCAATTCCCCCTCCTCTCACCACCACTTCCTTCCTCTAAATAAACAACGTAGATTATTTTATGAACCACCAGTAATAGAGCATACTCACAAAACGTCTATTTGGCGTAAGAAAGCGTAAGAAAGGCCTTGTTTAAATGTTCGAGCAATGAACTGGTTTTCTGTGCGTGACACAGCTAGCACGAAACACAGTATTGACATTTTTACGCAAGGGCCATGCAGAATTTAGTGTATAAGAACAAATTGATGCCTCGTAAGTTGGTGCCCAACGGAAGCACTCTTTACCGAATTGCTTGTTTAAAAATAACAACTTTTCAAACATAAAAATAAATCAAAATAACACCACTTTTTTGGGGGCCACTAAATTTACTGATTTACTATGTTAGCGTTGATTGTGCAGCGGTATGCGTACATTACGCGACACTGTTAGCGCAAACACGACATCGCGCTTTTTGCTATTTTCCCCAGCAATGTATCGACTCGCACTAAAATCTACCGCTTAGGTTGGATACTCGCATTAACAGTTTCCTAAACATCGTTCTCTTCTAACAAAAAAAAAGTGGGAAACACCGGTGATAGTTTGTTTGTGCTAACTGCGTAGCGTAGGGTACCTAAAAGTTTTTTTACAATGTTAAATACAATTCTGTGTCACGTTAAAAAAAATTGTCTGCTTTTGTCTTAGTTTCTTTGAGACACCGCAAATACTTCGAAGTGGCGGTCCGTGCTATGGTACCGATACAAGCAACGTTGAACCATAACACGACACGCTAGACTCGTCAAAAAGGGTTTTAATATTGTCTTTTCGCTCCATAGCCGCACTCGATGAAGAATGTAAACACCGAGTCTAGCTTACATTTCGTTGTGGGGTACGGACCGTATACGGTTATCTAAGTGGCTAAAAGCGACCCACTAAAACTTTCTAAAATTGACATCCACCCTTGATGCCCTCTCACCTCAGGTGCTTGTTGGGAATGTGTAAATATGAATTTCATACATTTTGCTGGCCATCATGTTCTGCGAGTTAGGCACACAACAGGGCATTTTAGTAAATCGTTTTCAAAGGCCCGCTGCCATTTCAGGCGCGCGCTTCAGAGAATGCATCGAAGTGGCAGCGCGAGCTCCCGCTAAATATAGCGTGGCCTGAAAACATAGTCTGCTAAAGTTCTTCAATAGTTTGTGCTCGCTCCTAGAAAACAGAGACCTTCTAGAAGATGCCCGCGCCTGGTACATCGTTTTCTTTTCCATCGATCCCAATTTGAGGCAGGTTTGAGCGTGATAAGCCGTTTTTTCTTGAAGATGGAATGTTTTGTGAAGATGTGAGTCATCCTTACATATTCAAGTCACCACTTCTCGCGCATGTGTTTTGAGCTCCTTGATCAACCGAAAATATCTATGAAACGTTCCTTCAATGGGTGCGGGGATGCATCGCAGCTCTCAAGTATGCGTTTACTTTGCCACGGGCTAAACTAAAGACCTTCGAAAGCGGCAATTCGGTGACTGCGCGGGCGCAGCCTTGCAGCTCCGTAAAACCGACACCCGAGGAGCTAGGCCGCCAAAAAATGGGGCAGATTACGCGATAGGAACTGAAGCTACCTCTTACTCACGAGGTCGCTGCTGCCGCACCCATCGCCCGTCGCTCAGAATGGGGATTTTCTCGGCTTATCCTCTCAGAAGCCGGCGCAAAAGGAGACCTTTCCCCTCGCCTCGCCGTGCTACAATACAAGAAGAAAGAGGGCGAGGAGGACTTTCCGCCAGGCGGAAGAATATTTCTGCTGGTCCTCCTTTAACCCGATTTTTAGCAACTCTTTTGGGACGCAAATATTAGAAGATTTTGGGTTTCACCCTAATATGAAGGAGGCTATATATTGGGGAGGAGGACAGACGGTAACGCCCCAAGCGGTTAACTTTACAACTACATGGATGGAAACAACAAATACAATGACGCAGCGCTCGGCTGACACAACCGAACGCGGTGTCAGCATTTGGCTGGAGTTTGTGTTCTCCGGCGAGGGGGAGGAGGGGCTCTTTTGTTTCCTTTACGGCCTGCATGAACAATGCAGCATGCACGATCCCAGCTCAGCACAAAAGCGGAAGTGGGTCAAGCTCGCATTCTCTGAGGGGCAGATCCGGCACTTAACGTCGCTTCGTCGATTGTTAGTATTTGTTAGATTAAACTGTGCCCGCGCTCTATTGTAGAAGATGACATGACCATGCCCATAAGGCCTGTCGGCATGTGCACAGGCCTTGTGTTGAGTAAACACCGAGCGTGGGGAAAACAAACGGGTCAGAGCGCCCCCTATAGTTTGATCTCCTGCCCAATATATGAGCTAAAACTTTGTTATCTTATGAATTTTTTTTAATAACTTTTTTTGTTGACTAAGTTTACGGACTTTGTCTGTCTAAGAAACAAGTGACTGCCTTTGAATGACATCAATAGAGCTTTTTAAGCAGAGCAAAACCGCATTTGATCACAGACGTAGCATGGTAGGGTGTACACCTGCAGGTGGAAGAGGAATGAGCTTGTTGGCAGTGCAAAGCGTAATGCATTGATAACAACGTTCTGAGGGCACGGAGGTGCAGGGATGTTAGATCGACTTCTCACGAGCTATCAGGCAAAGCCATAAGCAGTGGTGCAACCTGTTTAGCAAAGAGCTCAACATGACTGTTGCCGTAAGCTTCACAAAGCAGTATAGGCTGCCACTACAAACTTAACACATAGAAGGGCTCCTCCATCGTGTGAAAAAAAAGCCGACTAAGGCTAGAAATGAGGGAAGTTAATGGTCACTACAACATATCTACCACACAAAGTGTCAGCATTAACATTGTAAGAAATGACTGCACACACAAAAAAGAAATGCTTTGTAGCTTATGGATTCTAAACACTGTTTAGACCTGCAGATGGATGGGATGGATTAGGTGATGCAACACACATAAAAGGTGTCGAAAAAGAAAAGGTATTGAAATTTTCGAGCCAATACACTGTTTCTGATTTGTATCAAATCATGTGGCGATGAATAGTTGCACGCGAAGTGCAAGGTTTCAATTAATTGGAGGACATATATAATGAAGCAAGCGCTCAAAACTACTCACCGTTAGATGAGTCGAACTGCAAAGTCGAACGCTTTGCAACAAACCCGTGCTGCTCTTCGAAGTGGCATAGCAAGTCCGCATGGAAAGGAAACGAGATCCGGACAGTGCACTTGTCGCATGCGAATGGGCGACGGTCAGAGGGAAGCTCGGTGCACTTTCCCTTTGCGGCCGCGTCGTTGTGGATCGACACTAAGTGCCTCTTCAGATTCCATGCTTGCGTGAAGCGCTTGTCACAAAACGTGCATGTGTACTTATCGTTGTTGGACGCAGAAGAGGCAGCACCGCTTCCCCCAGGAACCGGCTGTTCAGCCATAGTAAAGCTAACAAAAACGCCACTTTCGAAACCTTTCTTACTACACTTAACGCGGTCAATAAAACGTCACACGAGTATCGCTTTAAAAAAAAATTTCTTAAATTCTAAATTAAAAATTTGTAAGCACCCGGCAATCCAAACCTCGTGGCTACAAAACACAAGAACGCACTAGGCTAGAAGACGAAATATTGATGCACGGCGGTGCTAGCTAAGATTATTCGCTAGCATTGACAGCTGAAGCTACGTGGCTACCACTGACGATCTATAGGCAACCTGCAATGCAGTTTGGCGCTACACGTTGCGCCATCTAGCGGCTGCAAAATAAAGAAACTGGGTAGGCCAGGCCTGCGCGGGTCGCGGGTGCAGCGGGCGGGCGCATCCATAAACCACGTGTGAACGTTGCATTCCGAGTCGGCGTGAGCTTTTTTTGGAACCGTTTTTCGTAAAAGTAAGTCCCAACTTTAAGTCTCTACGACCTCACCGGGTTCCTGTAACATCTCGCCTACCTCTTAGAGTTCCCCCCAAAAAATAAACGCTGCTACTGCTGCGTGAAACACGGCCACAGTCGCGAAGGTGACTCAAGCGTCAAACTTCATCGCTTCCCTTCGAGATCTTGGGGAAGCGACACGGCGACAGAAGTGGATTACTGCAGTGCGACGCATCAAGTAAGTGAATTTTACAGAAACTCTTTGGGGGGAAGTGAACGAAAATATATGTGCAGGCTCGGAAAGTGGTCGGACGAACTCGTTTTGCAGACTACTCGGCAAAATAACATATTACAAGTTATATTACAAGTCGCTTTGACAGCCACATAGGGAAATACGATAGGAACAATCGGGGCGATTGCTGCTTCGCTGTGACGTCGAGGATCGGGCGATCAGGTCTTCAAGCGAAAGGCCCGTCGGCCCGTTCCGGCACCGCTAATACCGTTCGGCATGCGTGGTCGCAACCAAAACCTTCCAAACCTGCGAGTGGATTTTCGTAGCACAAAGTTTTGTTTGTTTCAGCAACCAAATTTAATGCTGAGTCTAGTAACAAATGTGACGGCGTGCAGAAACAGGCTGCTAATGTTTTTTGTTTGGAAAAATCTCGTGCGAAGCGTAAATATCCTTCCACGTATACACTCCGTTGCCTGTCGCCTTTTTACACCAGGCTTTGCGATGTGCGTACGGTTATGTAGCATGCTGAGTTCCAAATTTTATTCTAGTGTGTATGGCCGTCGGGAGGAGAGGACGGCCGAGCGAGGCGCGAGCGGGGCCAGCCGGCGAGGAAAGAGGAAGAGCGTGCTGCACGAGGCTGGGACCGGGCAGGAACGATAGAGCTGTTCTGGCTGGTCTGGCCCATGGCGATTCCCGGGATCATTCCACCAGCGAAGTTCCGGTCAGGACTGGCGGAAGCGGCGAGCCCTGGCCATACCGGCCTGGGCCATGACGATCCCGTAGTGGTTCCGCAGCGAAACTGACTGAGATAGCCCGGAACAGCTAGCGTACGCCGTACTGGCGTGGGAAGGACGATACGCAGGCCTGGACACGGGCTCCGACTGTGAGTTCTGACCGACGGCCGACAACTAGGGTCGGCGGGTCCGGACTGCCGGCTCTCGAAGACGGGCGACCGGAATGTACAATAAACCTATTCGCTGCCTTCTCGTTCTATTGTGTCACTTCCTGGGAGACGAGCGAAGCACAGACCGATCGGGCGGCCACATGTAGTGAAGACAACTCAAACTGGTGTCCAGATGACGACTCTAGAATATTCTCTAAACACTTGGACCCATCAAGGCTCCCGATGGTCTTAAAAAACCGCACGAAAAAACCAGGGACGCACGCAGGTGCACACGGGGACTGCTGAAATCGGGGTCGCCGCCGCTCGCAACGGCCCGGCGGGCAGATAGGCCGCCCCAGTAACAGAGGCGCCGCCGCTTGTGGCGCTGAATGCAGTACTATCGTGGCGCCGCCTGGCCATTGCCGGAGTCGCCAGGCTCGATCTAAAATGGACCGTAAAAATCGACGCCTGCCCGTAGCCCCTCAAACTTTTCGTCAAAGGTGTATTTCATAGGTCGGTTTTTTCTTGTAGAATTACAAAGCGTAGTTCTCTTTCTGTAAAAAATAAGGCCAAGAAACTTGCCTGGGTCAACGGCGGGAGGCGACGCAGACGACCAAGTCAAGGTGCGGGGTGTGTTTGACACTCCTATTGATAGATGGCGCTACCTCCTTGTTTCCGTCAGAGTTCTGGTTTCGGTTTGCTTTCAATGAAATATCGAAAGTGCCCGCGTCGACCGTGGTTTATTGACACCAACATAATCGGTTTTGTAATCTACCTTTGGCGTGAAAATAAATGCAGACAATGATAGAAAAACTTCAAGTAACAAAAATAAAAGAAAACGCGGTTGCATAACGACAACGCTGACGGCGCTCTTGCTGCCGGCGGATTTCGTCTGCGTGTCGTCTGCTTTCTTTCGCTGGTCGGTTGCATCCTCGGACGCTGCTTCCGAGACCTTTTCTGTCGTGGTTGGGGAGAAAACAGCCACAATGCGTCACCTGACCGTCGAAGAGAGGGCAAAAGTAGTCCTTTGGTTTACAGAAACCAGGAGTATGAGGCAAGTGAGATCGAAGTTTCGAGCCACTTTTCGCAGGCGTCCGCCCACCCGTCGGACTGTCCTGCGCTGGGTGCACCGATTCAACACGGAAAACACTGTGCAGACCAGGCTGCGAGTACTTGAAGAGAGGTCGCCACAGCAGAACAAACGACACGCCGTGCTTGCGGCATTTGCATTGAACCCACGCCTGTCCGTGCGGCAAGTCGCAAGACAACTTGGCATCAGTAAAAGTTTCGTCTGGATGGTGATCCGCCGACAAATGTATCCGTACAAGCCACAGGTTCTGTTCGAGCTGCAGCCAGATGACTATGAACGGCGAAAGCAGTTCTGCGTGGACGAACTTGGGCGCATCTCCACAAACAGGAACCACCTTCCGTTTCTGCTTTTCACGGACGAAGCTATTTTTCATCTGGATGGGCACGTGAACAAGCAAAACACCCGCTGCTGGTCCGAGACGAACCCCCACTGGATCATTGAAGAGGCTATCCAGTCACCAAAGGTCGTAGTATGGTGTGGACTTTGGAGGGAAGGCGTTGTCGGTCCATTCTTTTTTGAGGGCACGGTCACCGGCGACGCCTACCTTCGCATGCTCGAACAGGACGTCTTGCCGGAGCTGGAAGCTTCGCACATGCAAAGGGAGGTGTGCATCTTCCAGCAAGACGGAGCACCACCGCATTACGCCACCGCAGTGAGAGACTGGCTTGACAGAACCTTTCCCGGCAACTGGATGGGTCGAGGGTCACCGACAATGCCCTGGCCCCCACGGTCCCCTGACCTGACAATTTGTGATTTTTTTGTTTGGGGTTTTGTGAAAGCCCAGGTCTACGCAGTTCGCGTACGCTCGATGACGGAACTAAAAGAGCGGATTATATCCGCCTTCGATGCGATCACGGACAACATGCGGGAGGCAGCCTTCAGGGATTATGAGCGAAGACTGCACAAGTGCCTCCAAGTTCGAGGTGGACATGTGGACTGAAGACAACGAGAACTGAAGATCACATATCTATCCATTTTGCACATATGACCAGCGGCTTTGACAACCGCGAAAACCGCGGGCTCCTACTGACAGGCTCTTTTCAGAGCCATTAATTGCTGTTTATCTGGAGCTTGCTTTGGCAGCCTCCCGTGTCTCAAAAGTGCATGCGGTGTAAATAGCATCCAAAGTGACGCATGGTGGCTGTCTCTCCACCAACCGCGGCAAAACAAAACAAAAAAAATGGTCTCGGAAGCAGCGTCCGAGGATGCAACCGACCAGCGAAAGAAAGCAGACGACACGCAGACGAAATCCGCCGGCAGCAAGAGCGCCGTCAGCGTTGTCGTTATGCAACCGCGTTTTCTTTTATTTTTGCTACTTGAAGTTTTTCTATCATTGTCTGCATTTATTTTCACGCCAAAGGTAGATTACAAAACCGATTATGTTGGTGTCAATAAACCACGGTCGACGCGGGCACTTTCGATATTTCATTGAAAGCAAACCGAAACCAGAACTCTGACGGAAACAAGGAGGTAGCGCCATCTATCAATAGGAGTGTCAAACACACCCCGCACCTTGACTTGGTCGTCTGCGTCGCCTCCCGCCGTTGACCCAGGCAAGTTTCTTGGCCTTATTTTTTACAGAAAGAGAACTACGCTTTGTAATTCTACAAGAAAAAACCGACCTATGAAATACACCTTTGACGAAAAGTTTGAGGGACTACGGGCAGGCGTCGATTTTTACGGTCCATTTTAGATCGAGCCTGGCGACTTTAGCCACCCTATAAATGCCGAACGGAAAACTACTGTGAGCCCTTGAACATCGCGCTAACATAACCAACGCAACTAAAGCATTCCTCAGGCTCACTAGCTCAAAGCTCGCGCTGCTCGCGTATAAAGCACAAAGGTATAACAAAGGCAGAAAGCCACAACCAGAGTTGCCACACCCACGGACACAACCGCCATACGTAGAAGTAATTAAGAAGACGGCCTAGTTAAAGTGAAACATAATTAAAACATCGGATGACGAGAAAAAAAGAAAAAAGGACACAAAACGTTTAATTTTTTTAGGCTTTTATGTGTTCGCCTCATTTTTTTCCCCGATACTAGCAGTTGGCAACCAGCGTATTCCTCACACGACTCACACGATTCCCCATAGTAAATCTCCCTACGCGGCTACGCGGTACCTAGATTTCTGCAGCCAATCACAAAGATGATGGGGCTCTCCGATTAGGTGCACGCCTTTTTTCTTTGTCTGCTTGTTGTCAGTTGCTGCTCGAAGTTCGCTCGTCCTACCTGCTTCAATCTGTCGCCTAACCCTGCGGTCTTATTGGGATGTCTCTCGACAACGTATTGGATGTGCACCAAAGCTATCAGTG